CACACCGGCCACATCCCCAGGCATGCTGAGCCAGGCATGGTGGCACATACCTATAATCCCAGTGCTGGGGAGGCTGAAAACAGGAGGATCGCTATGAGTCGAGCTGCATAGTGAGATCCTGTACCAAATACATAACTAATATATATATTTTTTAAAATAAGGTAAGTGGGTAGAAAAGATAGCATCCATCATGCTGAAGCTGCAGTCTAGGGCAGTGTGTGGGACCAAGAACCTCCATAAGGATGAAGGGTACCTATGTGTAGGATCCTAACAAGATGCTAAAAAGCATTCATAAATGTAGAATTTCCTAGAATTATTTCAATATTAATTGTTGAGACTAAATTTTAGCACCCAATCACAACATGTGAGTGCTTTGGAATTTCAAAAGGGAGAAAGAAAATTCTACATTAGCTCCAGTGTACCTTTATTCTGTGTTGCTATAAGCAATATGTGATTGCAACTCTCCAAATCACTCTCTCAGTGTTTTGTAAAAATCTGAGGCTGCAGTCCTCTCCTTTACCAGCTGCAGGGGAATGGAGGGTATGTGATATTCATCTACATACCCCTTGGCCTGAGCATGGGCTACACTTGGGGGTATTTGCTAAAGTCTGGCTGAAGAAAGCAAGGAGTTCTCAGAGTGCATCGGCATCATGTCTAAAATCGAACACCACAACTTTTCTCTTTCAGAGTCTGTCTAGAGTATGTGATTTGCCCAGGCTCTTTAATGCCAGTTGTGGTTTTATACCCACCCTTGCTCCCATATATGTAGTCTCTAAATCTTCCTAGTCCTTCTTTATACTCCCAGGTATTATATCAACATTTCAGGCCCCATCATCCAGCTGTCAAGTATGCTTTATTTGATATGTGGATAATTACAACAAGTGCTCTATTCCTCCTTGCTTCATGCCTTTGTTCAAACTCTCCCTCTGTTCTGAACCTCCATCTCCATTTCTCCAAAGGCCACCAGAGCTCTGAGATCTAGAGTCTTCTCTCATTTCTAGATATTAGATTTCTCATAAGGGCTTCCCCATTTTAGAGGTGGAAAAACTGGGGCTCCTCAAAACGAACTTGTCCAGTGTCACACAACTAGCTTACTGCCTGACTACAGACAGAGCTCTTTCTTGTAAACCTTGTCTAGGCTGTCCCCTTCTGGAGAGATTCTGTTGATTCTTTTTTTTTTTTTTTTTTTTTTTTTTTTTTTTTACCAGCAGACTGTCTTCCATGTTGCTTTAGAAGTAGAAAGCATGCAAATCTTAATTAAAGTCCTGTTTGTATGTGTTATTCTTTAAGAGAGAGAATAAAGAAGAGGATAATTGAGCAGAATAAAAACACTAAACCATTGTCTTTTTGATGAATGAAAAATGCACAACAGCATGGAGAATGAAGCAGAAGTCACTTGGGGCCATTTTTAGGTAGAGTGTGACAGAATTGTGAAAGTGTTTCTCTTCTCTGACACAGACTGTCCGCACGCTCCAGAACTCTGTAGGTGGTTTACTCATTTGCATCTCCCTAAACCTTAAAATGCTCAGCATAATAATGATACTAAAACGGTGTGTATGTATAAAAACACTGATCAATATCAACAGAAATTCATGACTAAATAAAAAGGAAAAAATGTCCAGACAGCAAAGGGTGATCGTGAGTTCATAGGGTGGCCTGCCGGCCAGAAACAGGACTGAAATAGCTCCTTTCTGAGAGAGATTCGATGTTGTAAAACTTTTTCCAGTTTGGCCCTTAAACTAGGAGTGACAAGTGCAGGAACAACACAGGTGCTAGCTAGGGGTCAGCCTTCCGTTCATGTCATCACAACATGTTCTAGAAGTAGCTTATTCTGATGCATTTGTGGCTAAATAAAACATTAATAATACCTATAATTCTCTTGCTGGAAGAAATCTAAGAAATTCTTTTCTTTTTATTTTATTTTATTTTATTTTATTTTATTTATTTTTTTTGGTGGAACCGGGGATTGAACTCAGACACTAGGGCTTGCCAGGCAAGCGCTTATTCTACTGAGCCATCTCCCCGGCCCCCCTTTTCAGTTTTGAAACAGGGTCTCACAATGCAGTTCAGGCTGGCCTTGAGCTCATTTTGTAGCCCAGACTGCTCTTGAACTTGCAATGATCCTCCTGTCTGAGCCTCCCAAGTGCTGGGATTACAGGCATGCACCACCTTGCCCAGATCCTAGAGATTATCTAATTCAAACCTTTATTTTATACCTGAGGCAACCCAGAGAAATTAAGCAATCTGCCAAAGGACACAGAGAATCTGATTTATTGCCGTGAAAGTCACCACAAGACTTTTCCTGCATTTGATATTAACATCGCTGCTCTAGTCAGGACTGTGGAATGTTAGTCTAATGGATTTAGCCTGTTACTATATCAACTCCAGCCAAATTGCTACTGTGAAATGGCCTCAAGCAGATTCACAGAAAAGCCCATGTGAAGTTGGGCAACTTACAGGAACATTGTGACTCAGTTTCCTTACCCGTAAATGAGACAACTGCAGCGTGGACCTCATGGTGAGAGTGTGGTAAGTATTAAGGAGATTATTTACTAGCCAGTTGACTGGAACATTGCTAGCACTCTGTACAAATACTGTACTGTGCTGTCATGGTTACTGCCTTGTTCTTTTAGTCCTACGGCCTCTTCTTACACATCTTGTACCTGGGATCACGTGGCTACCAAGCCTGACCTTGCACTGTGAGTTTTCTTCTCCACTTTCCCTAACATAGCCCTGTGCTGCTCATTTTGGTACCAGCCGGCCATGTGTGGATCTTGAGCACCTGAGATGTGCTCTAACTGTAAAATGCACACTAAGTATCAAAGACTACACTGAGCTACTTTCCCAGACGTTGCTGGATCCGCAAATTCCCAGGGCTGGGTTTGAACTTGTGATTCTCCTGCCTCAGACATCCATTGTGCTAGGCTTACAGGCCTGTGTCACTAGGCCTGGCTAGCTATGTGGGATCTTCTGTTTAGTGTCAAACACTTCTCTTAGGGCTCAGTCACAGTTCAGCAGGGATAACTTCCTGAACCACATTGCCTCAAGAAGCAGAGAATGCTGAGATGAGTTGCAGGCAGACATCTTCCCCTTGACTTGGAGCCCAAGATGGCTGCATCCAACTTCTGCTGAAAACGCCAAAGCCACTCCTGAGCATGACATTTTTGACTCTTTGTATTTCTTTGCAGAGGTTTGAATAAAGATTTGGCTGGAACTGTGCGTGTGTTCATCTGGTTTTAAGGATAACTAACACAATTCAGGCTGGATTTAGACACTGAAGCCCAGTTCATGTAGATGCTGAGGATTAGTGGTAACAGCTGTCATCCTCTCTATTTGAGGAAAAACTGAGGAAAAAAAAAAAAAGTTTGTTTAAAGAATGTTTTCAACTCTGAGGGAATAAACTGTTTCTTCCACGGAGCTTGAAGGAAAGTTTGTCCTAGGTAAGTGAATGGTTTGTGGGAGTTCAGGCAGACAAGGGGGCTGTGGGAAAGAGGCCCCTGCTAGGTCAAATGTGAGGACAAGGAGATGTCTGGCTGTGGCCATGGCCCGTGAGACGTGGCACCTGCACCTTTCCTCTGTAGGCCCCTGTGTTTGTTCTGCCTTTGGGAAGAACACCACAGTCTGCCATCGACAAGGGCTTAAGGGGCATTTCCTAAGGGTCCTTGTGAAGGAACCCAGACAGTCCCTCAGCCACTCCACTGAGGGCTTATAGTTCACTCAGTTCTGGGAAGCCATAAACGGTTCCTTGTGTGGTAGAGGTCTTTGACTCGTACTGTCTCAGGGAAAACAAACCCAGAAGAGGAAGGTGCTGTCTAAAGGACTCTTTAGGTAAGTCTGAGAGAGCTCCTCATCCATAGCCTGTTTCCGTCTCCTTGGGCTTCGTCAGCACCGGGGTGGTGACTGCTGTGATTATTAGCTTGTATGGACAGTTTCCCTAATCTCCTGTTTTTACTAGCTAGTTTAACTATACTTTTTGTAATTTATTTTTACCTTTCAAAGTTGTTTTGCTAAAAGGGAGGTGTTATTGCTTTGTGCTGCCCCTTAGGTCAAATATTAGTCAATTTTTTAAATCACTGGGTTAAAATTTTTTTTAAAATTTAAAACAAAAGTATTAGAAACATGCTTGACATACACATAAAGTATTATTTACTCAGATCTCTTTATATGTTTTATTTGTTGTCTCTTCCTTTAGTTTTAGGTATCAATTTCTTTTACATTTTCAACTTTTAATTCTTTCTGTTGGTGGGCATTAGAAATTGTAAACAAAAAATGAAATTTACAAAATATTAAAAAATTATAATTACATTACAAAATATTATCAGGGCTATTTTATCCAACCATTGTATTCTACTCCTAAGCCAATTTTCTTTCACCAGTCTATTTAACAAGGCGTAGGATGAATCTGCTTGGTGTCATTTCTCTGCTCATCTTCCAAAATGTTGATATAATTAAAAAGAGGAGAAAGGACAAAAGAATATCACAGTATGGAAAATTTAATCACTTCTGAATAATTGATAGCAGGTATTAGTTTTTGTAGCATTGTAACTCTGTGATTTTCAGTTATAGAGTTAAGAGACTACTCAGCCAAGTCCCCATATAGCATGCTCCCTGACCACTTTGGAATACTGTGTCTACTTTAGCCATAAAGTGTCACAGCCCATCCTGCCCTTGGCAATAGGACAAGTTCATTAGAGGAAACAAACATTTTCAGGTATTATTTCTTAGATTTAAACATTAAAGGTTCTTTTTAAAAAAGAGTCTTGCCTCATGAAAAAAATAATGAGAAGTTTAAAAAGAAAGATTTTTTTTTTTTTATAAATGAAATGCCTCCTGTAGCCTGGCCTGTTTTTTTGATCCTGGCCTTCAGGAGGCAGCCCTGTGAGTATCGGGTGCTAAGGGAGAGTGGGATTTGGGTCAGTCACCACCAGAGAGTCTTCGTGTCACCTTCTGAAGGGGCAGCTGCCTGAAGCTGTTGTTCTTCACGATACAGAAGCGAGAGGATGAGGGCGCCAGCTGCCCTTGCGGGCTGGGCTTGCATCACCTCCTGTCTGGCCTCCTGCGCGGCTGCCTTCTCCCACGGTGCCAGTGCAGGGGCCTGTGAGGACCTGCAGCCCAGACACATCGGAGCCCAGCCCCAGCGCCGCGGCCCCCACCACATTGCCATCCACACTGGCAGGTCTTCTTACTCACCCGGAGACCAGATTCCAGGTATGTGGGGGACAGGCTTCCGGAGGCCCACGGGAGCCCAGGAGAGCCCAGGAAACCTACACCGGGTACCTCCTGAACTAACTTGTGGTTTAGGCATAAATAAGCATAGAATTTTTGTGGTCATGAAAATGACATGGGCCGGAGAGGTAGCTCAGCAGACTAAGAGCCTGCTTAGGCAAGTGCAGGGACTGGGGTTCGATCCCCATTACCACATGCTGCGCCTGCCCTGGCCCTGGGCATGCTTAGCTGGCCACCAAGTCCGCGCCTGTCATCTCAGTGCTGGGGAGGCTGAAAACAAGTCCAAACTGTAGTGAGACCCTGTACACACAGTAAATAAATAAATAAATAAGAAAAGGACAGCGTAACTGATCTCTCTACTGGAAATAATCTAAGAGAACACAAGTGACATGATTATAAAATATTATCTCTTTTTCATAAGATGTAAATGTACTGTATCCCAGAGGTTACCCTAAACAACCTGCATGTATCATGTGTAGGAGAAAAATATACTTTTTTCTTATTATAAAACTTAAAAATATCCTTTTTTCTTACTCATCTATCAGTGAACACCTCAGGGAGATGAGGGATGTGATGATTTCCTTGGATTTATTAGCTATTTCTTTATGTATAGCGAGACATCATGTTACACAGCTAAAACATTTACAACACGAAGGTTTTTAAATAAAATACAGCACTCAGTGATAGGCTACATGCTTATGGCCCTGGGTTCCAGCCTAGCATAGACAGACAGATGCAGGCAGGCAGGCAGACAGACAGACAGATTGGCAGGCAAGCAGGCAGGCAGAGAGACAGACAGACAGACAGATTGGCAGGCAAGCAGGCAGGCAGAGAGACAGACAGACAGACAGACAGACGCTGACTTCTCAGGTAACTTCTAACCTGTCTGCCTGTCAGTTTGCTTACTCTAGCCATCTCACGTAAGTGGAACAATACAGGCCTGCCCTTCTGGCTTATCTCACACTGTTTTCGGGGTCCCCCGGTGCTTTAGAATGCATCATGGATAAGTACATTTCAATAAAGAAGGTGGACCCCAAAGAGTTGGTCCCCTGCAGTGAACAAGGGTGCTGGCTCTTCCACAGTCCTGTTAATACTGCTTGTCACACACATCTTAATCTTTGCTAGTGTGAGAAATGTAAAATAGCATCTTTTTTGTAATTGCGTTTTAGATTACGATGACCTTGTTTTAGTTTGGTGTTCTTTCATGCTTTCTGGGAGAATCACCCTTCCAGTGGCTCAGCTTACCTCTGGGTGTTGGTCTGTTTCATATGTTGAAAACCCTTTCCTGAGTTTATCTCTGTTTTGGCTTCATCTAGCTTCAACTCCCCTTAGTGATATGGGAGAGTTTATTCACCTTTTCCATATGGCCACTACATTGCTTAGAGAGGTATTTCTAACTCCAATATTTAAAAAACAGAAAAAAAAAAAATTATTCTGGTTTATTTGTGTTTCATTTTTACACACTTTTGAATCCAAATGGAATTTATTTTGGTGTAAAGCAGGACCCCACCTTCCAAGGAACTGTTCTCTTTCTGTTTTGAAAATACCTGCGTACAATCTCTGCGTGGCTCTGAGGCCCGCTGTCCGCTGCTTTCTGTTACAGTGATGGTGAGAAGCAGCCGCAATTTCATGGGCTTTCTGCTGCAGGCCCGGCGTGCGTCTGAGCGGCACACAGCTGGCACTTTTGTCTTCATTCCTCCTCGTTCCAAACAGATGAGTTGTCTCGAAGAGGCCGACACAGTCACCCACTCAGACAAGTCCCCGAAACGAAACCTCTCGTTCCTGTGGAAGGCCCCTGCCCTGCCTGTGGGGGACATCAGGTTCCTGTAAGACAGAGAAGTGCTGTCTCTTAGTGACTGAGCCCAGCCTCAGGACTCAGAGAGGCTTTTCTTTTCCTTTCCTTTGTGTTTATATTGTCCCCTTTCCTACACAACCACCTCAGAAGGAGGGCAGGAGGCCCTGAGGCTGCCTGAAGTGGACAGCACAAAAATGGCATCATGACCCCCACCACCACCACCATTGTCCCCTCCTCGCTGGGACCGGGGATATCTTGTTCATCAGGAGCCATGAGAGAGACAAGGTTTAGGACCCACACTGCAGTGTCCTTCTCCATCCCTCCTGGGAACCCTGGGAAGCCAGCGGGACAACAGAAGGGAACCCCCAACCCACTCCGGTTTGCTATGTGTGGCATAGAAAGTAGCTTAAAAGCTGTAGTCTTCAAGTGACAGAAAGAAGAGCTGAGTCACTGGGTCAGAAGCCTCCTCTTAGCCATCCTCTTCTCTCCTTTCCCAGAATCCTGAACGGCATCTGGAAGCCACCGTGTTTAAGGCCCAGCCAGGCCCGTCACTGGTTTCTTGATTCTCTGGGAGATCTCAGCTATGTTAGTCACAGCCTGAGACAGCCTTATGAATACTAGCAGTGGAGGAACAATGCTTGTCCACAATGCCTATCTCGGGGAGAATGGGAGAAGAGCCAGTGGCGTAATGTTTGTGAGAGAAATTTGTCCAAGAGGAAGGCATTCGCATTTAAGACATTGTTTAGAATAAAAAAAAAAAAAGACATTGTTTTAGTTATAATGAAGAAAGACAATTTCTTTGCAGTACTGGGACTTGAACCCCAGCCCTTGGGCACGCAAGGCATGCTCTCTGCCACTGAACTAGCCATAATCTAGCCCTAAACAGGAATCTCAGTACTCATATTTATCCAAAAAGGGTAATTTATTTGTGTAGAAACCCCTCCTAATTACTTTCACCTCTTGAGTTCTGGGTTTGTTTTTTTAAAGAATGAAGTCACTCAAAGGGAAATAAAATAATTTCTAGTTCTCCTATTCATTTGGGCTTTTGCTCTGTCTTTGTTATTAGGGTGGCCTTGGGCATTACTTAGTGGAAACCAAATCCCCAAATCACTCTGCTCCTTTTCTCCACAGATTATCAGTAGTCCAGTCGTATTTCATTTACTGGGCAAGGATTGAATCGGCTATTGTATTGCAAGAGACACACAGCAGCGCCTACCCCGGTGACCTCAGCAGCTCGGAGCCTGGGCCACGGGTGCTGGCCCCGGGGCGGCCGTGGAGCAACCGCGAGGAAACCGGCCCAGGTACGGCTCGCCGCGGCGTTCAGCAAGCTGCTGTCCTCATCGTTTCCCGGTGATCTGTCCTCACTCACAAGCTTGGCACTGCTGGTTTCCTGTCCTCGAAACACAAGCAGTGAAGAACATCTGCCTTGCCCTGGAACCGCCACACCTGGGGAGGTGATCAGGTGGCTGTGAGGGGCAGGGCCCCCTGGCAGGGACATCAGCTTGTCACAGCAAGTGTACTTTGTCTAGCGCAGCCTGACAAAATGGGGCTCTGGGTGAACCCCTGCACAGCACACAGCTTCTTCCCTGAGTCTGCCAGGCAGCACAGCTTCTCAGCTGTTGCTCTTTGACCCCTGATGGGACGCAGGGCACTTCTTTTCTTAGAAAAGCAATTTTTATTGTTCCTTTCCATAATACATTGATAGTTCTCGACAGGCTTGAATGGAGAACAGAATCAGACACCAGTGTCCCCTTCAGTGGGAATCAACATTTCCCGGGGTTAGTCATGATTTTATACTGGATTGGTCTATGAGCTTCTGAAAAAAGACACAGCAAAACAAACAAACAAACAAACACGGGGCCTGGAAGGGAATGTTTGTCCTGCTTGAAAATTCCTGTCCTTGGCACCTGCTACCATTATCCATTTCCAGTGCAAGGCGGAAGACAGATGGGCTCGTTCAGACACCCAGTGGCTTGCACAGGACTGATCTTCACCCCCTCAACCCCATTTTCCTTGATTCTTTTTTCCATAATTCTTTGCCAGTGTCTCAGTTACTCTTTTCTCATTGCTGGGACAAAATACCCGGCACCCAAAATGAAGGAAGGGAAGGTTTATTTAGCTCACAGTTACTGGAGGTTTCAGTCCATACTCAGCTGGCTCCAAGGCAAAGTGGCACATGGCAAAGGGCAGCAGTTCATGGTGGCAGCAAAGAGCAAGAGCAAATGGGAGGAGTAGTGGCAACAGTGGCTGCAGAGAGCAAGTCTGTCTCCCTTATGTCACATTCAGGTTATCTGCCCCAGGCTGGGTGTAGCACTCACACCCATAAACCCAGCAGCACTTACACCCATAATCCCAGCAACACTCACACCCATAATCCCAGTAGCACTCAAACTCATAATCCCAGCACTCGCTCATTATTATGGTCTATGTCTAGTTGTTCCCCCAAAGCATCCTGCAGCCATGGATGGACTTTTAGAGTTTGTGATTGACTCATGATCCACTGGGATTATGGGTTTAAGTGCTGCTGGGATTAGGGGTGTAAGTGCTGCACCCAGCCTAGGGCAGATGCCTGAATGCAATTTAAGGGTGACAGACTTGCTCTCTGCAGCCATTGTTGCTGCTGCTCCATTTTGCTCTCTTGCTCTTTTCCGCCTCCATGAAAGGTTGCTCTCTGCTATGTACTGCTCTGCCTTGGAGCCCACTGAGTATGGACCTCTACTGACTGTGAGCTAAATAAACCTTTCCTTCCTTCATTTTGAGTGTTGGGCATTTGTCCCAGCAATGAGAGAAAACTAACCAAGACACTCATGAATTGATCACAAAGTCTAGAAGTCCACCCCAAGACTGCATGAAGATTTGGGGAACAAGTAGACACAAACCATAACAGCCAATATGTTAAGGCCAGCTCCAGCCAGAACCCTACCTCCTGTTAGTCTAGGAGATCCAGGGACAGAGACAACCCATGGCCCCTGCGTCCTCCACCTTTGCTCAGAATGCTTTGTCTTCTCCTATTGTTCTAGCTCAGCACCTCCAGCTTTTCTACCAAGACACTCTGAGAGTTGGCCTGGAGGAGACCCTGTACCCCAACTCTTGAAATCCCATGCTGTATTTTATAACAACTATTACAGGCAACTTTGCCCAGCCATCACAAACAACTGTCTTTGCTATAATATGAATAGGGTTGAAAGTGAGCCTTTCAGAGGAAGTGTCACCTTGGTCCTTCTGCCTCTTGGGTGCCTGACCCATCGAGTGCCTTGACCCCGCCTGATGTCACAGATGCCAGTCTCAGCAGCCACAGTGTAACTCCTCATGGTGCTGCCCCATGCCTCCCCTTTACACCCTGCCCATTAATTTATATCAACTCTGGTGATTCCCCAAAATAATATATAGTATTTCTCAAACATATCTGCAGTAGACCCAGTGGACACTTTGGGATCCTGCCCTACCACTTCACAGTATGATTTACTTCTATATCTCCATGTGTCCCTTCTGATGTTTCCTCACATTGGACTGTTCCTTGTGGTGGTACACAGAGCCTTCAAAGTCTAGTCCAAATATCCCTGGATGAATCTTTTTCTCATACTTTCTTGGTAAACAAATAAACAAATGCCTTGGCCAACTCAGGCTGTTAGAACAACAGAGTACTTTAGACTGGGCAACTCGTAAGTAACAAGGAGTCACTGGCCACCCATTCTGGAGGCTGGGAAGTTTAAAATCAAGGTGCCAGAAAAGTTGGGGTCTAGGCAAGCACTGTTCCTTATCTGCATGCCTTATGTGTGTTCTTATTGCAAAAGGAGTAAAAAAACGCTCTCAGGCCTCTGCTATAATGACCTTAATCCCTGGGGGCTCTGTCTTCATAACCTATTCATGTGCTGAAGGCCATACCTCTTAGAACTATTGCACTGGAGATTAGATTTGTCATGTGCATTTGGGGTACATGTTCTGAGCACAGCATCCATGTATTCACCTTCTTAGCACTGGCATTAAAGTGCCATCTTGTAATTCCAGTGACTAAGCATATAAGAATCTTTCCTTCCTGAGATTGAGTTCAGGAACAACAATTGCAAAACTGTATGACTGCTGCGCCTGTAGCCATCATTACAATGCCTGGCCCTTGAGGGTTGAAATAACCAAGAGCACTTAAAGCTTATGGGGATGGCACTGGAACACAGGGGTACCGAGCACTGGCTGGATGGACTTCTGCCAACATGACCTTTTGTCGCTCTCTATTACTGACTGTATTGTGGTTGATGTTCAGCACAGGCTGCATGTGCCCTCCACTGTTTCACATTATTATGCCAGTAACTGCACATCACCTCTCAATGGCTCTGTGCCTTTGGTATTATTACTAGCTCCACTATGTGACTGAAGGAACTGATGCTCCAGGAAGACTTCTCCAAAGCCAGGAATAGCAGGAGGCACATAGAACTTAGCCAATAATCTGATTCTAAACTTAGCGCCCACTTGCTGCCCTGTGTGCAGCTATTTCTGATGTTCTGGGCCCTCCTCTTAGCTGGTCACAAAGGGGAAATCAAGTGGAGTGGTTTGGGTTTTGCTGATTGCAGAAACTCAAGTCATGATCAACACCAGGGAAAGCAGTGTTCATATGGCAGAAGACCCAGGTCATTTAAAAATTTGTGGGATTTGACTTCTAGTAGTAGTTTTTTTAAGAGATTAAAAGTATAGAGTTGTCCAGTGTGTTTCCTGTATGGTGGCTGATAAGAAGGCCTGGGGCTTCTTTTAATATGTGTAAGAAATAAGTGTTTTATTGCTTTGTTGGGGCCTTGTATTGCAGGACAAGTCATTTTTGAGTGGCTCACATTTAGTGATTACCTGTAAAGCACATTAGAATCTCCAGTATTTACCCAGTTGTCATAGTGGTGTGGACCAATCAACACAGAGCAAAGGTTCTTGCTGTCTCTTACTGGGCAGAAGAGCTGGGTATGATAATTACCCAAGAAAACTGTCTTTGGCCCTCTGTGTAGCTCCCAGTGCCCATTGCTCCTCCACAGAATGCAGCACAGATTCTGTGTCGTTGCTCTCACAGGAGCTGCTGAGAACAGCCTTGATCTTGCTCCTCCCAGTCCTGTGCTTATGACGCTGCCTGTGGACACCCAGACTCTGACCTCAGATCCTATGCACACAGAGATGATCACTAGCAGAAGCCAAGGGCCCCATGGGGACAGCAACCCAGCCCTAGAACCATCAATGGATGTCCATAAGCTGCAGAGGCTTGCGGCTCTCAGGTGAGTCTCCTTGGAGGGCCAAGCACAAGCAAAGACTGTTGGTGATGGGTGGCCATTTGGTCCAGGTGATAGGCCAAGGCTACCCACTGAGGGGAGTAACCTGAAATCTGACCCAAAAAAGACCTGAAACATTTTTATTCTTTTTTTCCCTTTCCCCTTATTTTTTTTATACATATATGTTTATAGCACATAACATTTACTTTCCTTGTTACAGAGTTGGTATATGGACATAACACATCTTAATTCTTTTTATCATCCCCTTCCCATTCCTTCTCTCTCCCTTCTCAATTGAGAAAAGTCTATCTCCCTATTTCCTCTTATTCTAATTTGGGTTTCTCATACAAGAGAAACCATGCAATATTTAAGCTTGTGTGTATTTTACTTATCGTTATGGTCTTAAAGTTGCATCTGTTTTCCTACAAATGATTCATGTTAATCTTTTTTATAGCTGAGTACTACTCTACTGTGTGTAAATGCCAGTTTTTCTTTAGCCATCCATCTGTTCATAGACGTGTAGTCCATGTCCAAAATTTAATTATTTTGAATTATACTGCCATTTTTATTTGTAAGAGCCTGAAATACTCTGACTGTAGCAGGGCTACTGGACAGAAGAGCTGGGTATGATAATTACCCAAGAAAACTGTATTGGGTTGGATGAAGTCTCTGAGATGTTGCTATAAATAAAGTACATTAACAACTTAAACATATATTTATAATATAATATAGAAATATATTTTATGTTGACTTCTTTTATTTATTTTTTTGCGGAACCAGGGATTGAACTCAGGCCTTGCACTTGTCGGGGAAGTGCTTATTCCACTGAGCCATCTCCCCAGCTCTAGAAATATATTTTATATAAAATAATAGATGAGGGCTGGAGAGATGGCTCAGTGGTCTAAAGCACCTACTTAGAACAAGCTTAGCAAAAGCATCAGGGACCGCGGTTCAATCCCCCAGCACCACATGCC